AAAAAAAAAAAAAAAAAAAAAAAAAAAAAAAAAAAAAAAAAAAAAAAAAGCCTAAGAAACTTGCTAGGCTGAAGGGAAAAAGAAAGTATTAGACGGTTCGCCAAGAGCTGAAATGTTACCGTAATCGTCCACTGGCCAGGCGAGCAAGGGCAGGCCATTTCTAATCTATCTTTACCGAAGAAAATAGGTAGTGAACAAAGTAGAAAGACGTCAGGAAGCCGATGGTGCCAGTTGATAACATAATTGCCGTTGCCATGATCAATGAATAACCAAGATAAAGAATAGCAGACACCGGGCCGCTCAAACTCTGCAGCTCAAAGACCAAGTAGTGGATGGAATATAGGAACACGTAAAGAGCAACTGAACCAGAAGCAAAGAACGCCTTCCACCACCATCGCCAATCCTCCACACAGAGATGCATGTAGGTAAGGACGACTGATACTTCAGCACACACAATAACCAGAAGAGATAAAACTATCAGTAGAAAACCGAAAACGTAATAGAACCTTCCAAGCCAGATGCTAGAAAGGATAAAGAAGAGTTCGATGAAAAGGGTTCCGAAGGGAAGGGTCCCAGCTCCAAGAATGAGAAGCCAAGATGGGTACTTCCGTGAAGGAATTTCCCTCGGAATCTGGTTGGTTCTCACGGGAAACTGAATTTCTGCAGCTCGTGTGGCAAAGAACCCTCCCAGCAGGGTCAGTGGCACAGATATGCAAAACCAGAGAGCTAGGAGTTCAAAATATAATGAGATGGGAATGGCACCACTACTCTTGCTGCTCCAAAGAATGAAGTTCAGTACCGTAAGAATGACGAAGACGATCCCAGGAAAGAAGCAAGCAACTGACCAGGAAACTGATCTCCACCCTTCTGACGTTCCCTTAATGGTTCTCCATGCGCGTACACCAACATAACCTGCAATAATTCCAAGGAAAAGGTAAAGAATAATCATCCCTGTCAGTAGCATTCCTCTAGAAGCTGGTGACATGAAGCCAAATGCTGTACAAACAACAGTGACAACTGCCATCCCCAAGATTTGAACCCCATCACCAACCATCACGCAGAGAAGCTTCGAACATTCAGGTTCTCTGAACACATCTCCAACTACAAGTTTCCATCCTGAGAGCTCTTCGTTCATTTGCGCTTGAGATTCTTTGTCCAATTCCTCATACCTTGTCAAGTCTCTTCTCACAGTCCTTAAGAATATAACGAAAACTATACCCGCTAAGAAGAAGATTACCATTAGTGAATTTAGAATTGAGAACCAGTGTACTTTGGAACCCTCCATCCTCAAATAAGCATCCCATCTTGATGGCCACCTTATATCACTTTTGACAAACTGCACCTCATAAGTGAATGACACTTCCTCTTTCTCCCTGATGATCTGGGACTTCTCAAGTTCTTTTGGACAGTCTACATGCGTGATATTCTGTAGCATATCATACTTTTTCATCGTTTCAGGATCATATTTAACACTACAAGGTGTAACCTGAAATCCAACAATTTCGTATCCAGAAGCCTTCTTCTGTTCAGCTTGTGAAATCACACCCATACCTTCTTCCCCAGTACCAATTATTTCCGCACCAGTCCCCTCGTACTCATGAACCAAGACGGTGAACTTTAGGTGGTTAATGATATAATCATCCTCACTGTTTGATGGCGTGTACCCAACTGGAAACCCAGTCCACTGGATTTTAATCCCATTTTGTTCGGTAAATCTCATGGCAGGTAAATTATCCAGTATCATGTTTACCTGATAGAGATCACGAGTTCTCTGTTTCAAAAGCTTCACTTGAACCTCACTCAAAGGCTCAGTGGTACAAAGGTAGACTGTTTCATTTACATTCATGCGAAAACGATATGGAGAGTTGTCGATCTGATCACCCATAAGCAACTCCCCAAGATTCTCTGCACTTTTCTTGACACCACCCGGTGGCTTGCAATAGGGAAGAGTATAATAGTTGAAAGGAAGCTCAGTTTCAATGGAAGTCAAGGAATTAACCTTAGCAAATATGGGATCCTCAGAGGAGTAAACATTCATGTAGCTGCCGGGGAGATAGAATGCATCGCAACGATAGGCAAGAACCAGAAACACAAGGAAAACCCGACAAATAGAGGGCTTCCTCGAACAGGAGGAGGCCATTGGAAACTGAAAGAAATGCGGCAATCTAATTACAAATCCAACCGGACTTAAAAGATCCATTCGCTAGCAAAAGTAACGACAATTCAAATCATAAAACAAAAACAAGACAGCGACAAGATCTACAAGAAAAAAAAAAGTTATCTTTATCTTTAACCACTAAACTGAAAATCTGCTAGATTAATTAGAGAACACATTAGATCCGAGTGATTAAACTGTTGCAGGGAAGAAACGAAATACATTCCAAGCAAATCATTCTCAAACAAAGAACGAAAACAATCTTAAGATCAAACTGGAAAAGGAGGAAATCCGACTCAAATCAATTTACACAAGCAACGATGAAATGGAAAATCAAATCAAACACAGAGAAACATATTCCTTAGTTCCATAACTCGAAATCATACACCAAGAAATGGAGGAAATCTTGAGATCTAGGTCAAGAGCTTACCACCGACACGGTGAGAGATACTCACGACGAGCAACGGACGATACAGAATGCGTATATTGTTGGGGGTTCTTGAAATTGCGTTGCGCTGGGAATTATATTCCTCTCTCAAAATCTTTTAAAAAAATAATAATAAATATATCTTGTTTAATTAAATAAAAATAATAATAAATACATATTGGTATAGGCGAATGCTCGAACCCATCACCTTCAAAATGAAGTCGTCTAGGTCTCAATGTCCCATTAATATTTTTTAGTATAAAGACAAAATAATTACGAACGTTATAAGATGAATTATTATTTATCAAAATTTCGATACCAAAAATTAATAATTTATAGCTGATTTTAATTAGGAATATGACGGTAAAATAAAAATATAATATATTAAATTATAGAGATGTCTATTTAACTTGTGAGATTGGAGATCGTGGAAATCTCTGCTTAAATGATGAATGAAAAGGAAGTGGAGAGAGATTCCTCCCTATTAGCTGAACGGGGTCGAGGATGGAAAGAGACAAAGCTAATCGGCGTCTTCACGGGAGATATTTGATCTAATTCGAACCTTTAACATTTTTATATTATTTCTTATTTTTAAAAAATTTAAAATTTTGTTCTCTCTTCTAGAAATATTCGAAAAATAAATAAATAAACAATGTTTTTAATTCAAATTCGTTTTTATTCCAAAGAAAAATTTTATAAGATTAAAAATAAAAAATAAATAGGAAACTAATGCAAAACTAACTATATTTTTTTTATTAAAAAAATTAAAAATTTTAAATATTAAACTTTCTGTGTACATCACTTTCATGTATACCAAACTCGAGTGTAGCATCACTTTCATGCTTCTAAGCCTCAATAGAAAATATGAGATCTCACAATTCACCTCTTTGGGAGCCAACGTTCCCGTGTCTGGCTTTGATATCATTTAAAACAGCTCAAGCCAATCGTAAGCAGATATTATCTTTTACACTTCCTCTCGGGATTTTATAAGAAATGATTCATTTTCATCTCCAACAAACGTGGGATCTCACAGTATCACCTTCATACACACCGACCCTATTATATCACATTCATGCACATAAAAGCTCCTACGCGTGCATCTCTATCATGGAGTCAAATCATTAAAAAAATTACGATTCATATTTCGTGATGTTTACGAGCACACAAATGGACGAGCTCTCACATATAAGAAAATATAAATTCGTTCCCAAGAAAAAGAATGCTACGTAATTACAACCACAAATTCTTGCCCCTAAAAGGAAAATAAAATAAAATAAAATAAAAAAGAATTTCCGTCGTCGAAAAATGGCCATTGGTTGGGAAGAGATTAGGATTGCGGTGGCCCACTGAAACTCTGGCAACGCCTTGCCTTGTTTGTCTGCTTGCGTGTAAATCCAATAAATTAATTAAATAAAAAATAAATAAATAATTGTGGCAAAATAAATTTTAAATAATTATGAAGAATTATGTTTTCTTTGAAAAAATAAATAAATAAATAAAAGAAATCAATTTTCCATTCTCTAGGATGAAAAATTAACTGCCCCGCTGCCTACCCTAGTTGGATCGTTATTAATATTTATTATTTACCCGAGCGAATGAAAAAAAGAAATAAATTGTAAAAAATAAAGTCTCGATTGCCTAACTTTATGATAATTAAGCCTACAATATTATTTTTATCGTGAATTTTCTTTATCATATTTAATTTAGAAAAAAAAACTTATTTATTTTTAAAATTAGTAAAAAAAACATAATTTTAAAAAATAAATATAAAATAGTTATTAAAATAGCCTCAAATTTAATTATAATGAAATTATAATTTTTTTTTTTAATTTATATCAATTTTATATAAAAAGAAAATTGGAAGATTTTGAGAATTTATTTAATTTTAAAAGCTAAACAAAGAAAAAAATATATTAATAAAGAATTTTTTTATATATATATAATTTTAATTTTTAATTTAAAATAATAATTAAAAAAAGAGAAAAAAAAGTGTTTGGAGAGATTGGGATGGGTGATATATAGAGTGAGAGTAATTTATTATCTGAACATCTACAAAGTTCTGACCGCGCTCTACTTTTCTTGGATTGAGTTACTCTGATCGGCGTCTGGTTGAGGTTCAATCTCGGAATCTCCATTGCAGGTTGTGTTCGAAGCTTAATCTAGAAAGGTTTTTGGATTGGGTTTGGAATAATCTTTTCTTTTTCGTTTTTGATTCTTTTCTTCTGCTCCATTTTTTGTATTCAATTCCGTCATCATAGTGTCCGGATTGTTCTTGTTTCACCGTTCTGATATTTTGTTCTTTCAATTAACCTCAGTTACTCTCATGGCTTCCAATTCGACGAAGGATGTTGCTGTTGGTAAGTTCCTTTACCGTAGATTGTTTTCGGTAATTTGTGGATCTTTTTTCCTCTTTTAAGATGGAACAGAGGGGTTTTTCTGTTTTAAGTTCCTGTTTAATTTTGGACTTTTTTTTATAAATGAGGACATTGGATGGTTTCTAGGAGTGTGTTTTCTGGTTAATTAGATTCTGATTTGGAAGATTTGACTGGAATTAGCGTGTGTTGGTTTAAGTTCTAATACTGCTTGCTCTATAGAGGTTATGGATCTTTCGATTGACACAATGCGATCTGGATTCAACTCCCTGTAGAACATCATCTCTTTTAGCGTGCAGAAAACAAAGACATTTGCTGATTTGTCCACCCTTTTTGACTCTAGAGAGGACTCTTGGCGGCAGAATATGGAGATAAGCCTAGAATCAAAAGAGCACAAGGGTGTTGATGAGTGGAAAGAGAGAATCAAATAAATCAGAGTGTAGGGGAGATTTTCAATTGTTGTAATCGAGTATACACTTCAATAAGTAGAAATTGGAATAAATTCATCTTCATAATATCAATAATCCCATTTCAAAAAAAAAAAATTTGTGGCCTGAGCTATGCAATTTTTAAGCTACTAGAATAGAATTGATGGAGCTCATCACAAGGGCAATATGCCTGGAAATTAAAGAAATAACGGATACAACATATCATAAATATAAGGATTTAAAACAATTTTATTTTTCATTTATTCTTCCTTTTAAATAATTATAATTTCTTCTGAACTTCTTTCCCTTTTAGTTTCTTTCTGTTAATGTGTTATCCATTTACAGATGAGAAGACAGCTTTGTCAGATAACAAAAGTGCCATAAGTGAAACCAAAAGTGAAACAACCAAAAGCAAAACATCCTCTGCAGAGCAGCAGCCAGATAAACCAAAGGCTCCCTCAGCCTCACTTCCTGAATTTCCTCCAAATCCTTTTGATTTCTCAGCAATGACTGGTTTGCTTAACGTAAGCCAACTTCTTTCATGTCTAAGATATATACAATTTCTGAATGACTACCATCTACTTAGTTTTCATTCATTAAAATTTTAAGTACTTTGGTCTACAGCTACTTTGTGACAATACATATGATCAATTAATTCGTTTATTTTGTTTTCTTTATCAAATGTGACTTAGAAATGACGTTTGAGGTGAGTAGGAAGCAGTCTTTAGAATTTATCCTGCATGCAAACCTGAATGTGGTGGACGCCTAAGAGATCCATGAGAGTTTATTTAGCACATAATTGAGCTGATAGGATATAATATTTTGGTAGATTGGATAAACTGTTTCATTTTAGTTTTTTCTGAGTTTTTGATGAGGAAACTAATCTTCTCCGGTTGTAACCATGAATGAGGTGGATGCCTAAGACATCTTAGAGAAATTTTAGTTTATAATCTAACTGACAGTATAAAATAATGATTGATTGGGTAAACTGTTCAGTTTTAGTTTTTTTTCGAATTTCTGTTAAGGAAACCATTGAAAGGCGCCCAGCTAGACCCTCAAGGAAAAATGACCACTAGTTGTTATAATTGTAGTTAAAAGATCAGATAAGATTATAAAGAAAATATTTACTAATTTTGCTATCTTGTATTTCATTGGTATAATGGTTGAATTTGATTGTCTTACACAAGTGTTAGTTTTGGGGATAACCAAATTGAAAAAGTTACCAAGTCTCTTAAGAACATTGCAAGCTGGCTACAGCTTTACATTAGACTATGTGAAGGTTAAAATATGGATTTAACCAATTGGTTGATTGATTGAAAGTTCTTGCTCTACTGATTTGTGTTAGGATATTATATGTGTCATGAGTTACCCTACTACCAAAATTTCTGAAATATGATAGTGGAAGTTGACATAGGATATTATATGTTGCATAGGAAAATTAGGAGGTCTTTAATATTGCAGAAAATTAAGCTTCATTGATATTGGATTGACTTCTCAGTGGGATGTGGAATCCAAGCTGCCAGAAAATACTTTTGGATTCTGATACTTCATTATGATTTCTATGACTGAAAACTTCTGAAATATGATAGTGGAAGTTGTTGACATCGAGGTCCTTTTGTTTCCTTGGGAAAAAGAAGATTAAACTCATACTGAATATTTTCTTTTCATGCTTACAATTGTAAAAACACGAGAACCTTTTCTTTTCCTTGCAGGATCCTAACATTCAAGAATTAGCTTCTCAAATAGCAAAAGATCCTGCATTTACTCAGATGGCGTCAGAACTTCAGAAGAATTTTCAAGGTGCTTCTGCTCAGCAGGGTATTCCGCAGTTTGATACGCAACAATACTATTCTACTATGCAGCAGGTCATGCAGAATCCTCAATTTATGACAATGGCTGAGCGCCTTGGCAATACATTAATGCAGGTTTTTGTTGTTGATTGAATTTAAATACTCTCCTGTTGTTGTTCTCCATTCCGTATTTTCAATAGCATGTCAATTGAATGATATGATTTGATCTTTACAATTTTCCAGGATCCATCCATGTCTAGCATGCTGGAAACTTTTGCAAATCCATCCAATAAAGAGCAGCTTGAGGAACGTATGACACAAATCAAGCAAGATCCAACTTTGAAGCCTATTTTAGATGAAATAGAGACTGGTGGTCCAGCTGCGATGATGAGGTTATGGTTTCTATAATCATTTATTTCCAATCCTGCATCAATTTTTGGGGGGAGAAAAAAAAGTCGACTAAGTTACAGACCATTTTGTTAAAGAGAGAAAGGTTGCTTTCTTAGGTACTGGA